GATCCTAATTTCAAAAACTTTAAGGAAACGATTCAACAAATAATTGAAGATATTCACAAGAGTAATCACTGGGTGCTTAAGAAATCGCTTTTTGAATTGCATTTCGGTCGTAAACCTAATACTGAATGGTCCCAGGCATTTAATAATGTTGTTCGATCTGATACTTCAGCCCAAGGACTGGAACGGAACCTCTTAACGCCAGACCAGATTGCCAGCCAGGATTACAGTAGGGACCGGGCGAAAGTTGTTCCTTGTGTCAGTACTAGTCCGACAGTTCCTCCCCGCTTCAAACCCTTGTTTTCGCTGGACGGAAATGTGGCGGATAGTGAACCCTACAAGGCAAACAAATGGTCACAGTTTAAGCGAAATCTTCCACTGGATGGGGGAAAAAGGTCCTCAAGGAACTAGCAACCCGTCATTCGGATCTGGCTCATTCTCTCAAGTCAGGCCTTAACCACAACACTCTTCGTTTTCCGACGATTGGATCGAATGTAACGCCTCCGGGGGCTCAAGTTAATTCCCGATGTTTACCAGCTCTGCAACCTCGTCGACTGACGAAAACAAGTAAACTAGAAAACCTTCTAATGTCTGATCCTAACCGAGTTAAAGTCTTTACGAAAATAATAGATCGTCAAACGGGGAAACATCTTTATAAACTGGCTAAACTTAAGATTGTTCGTGTTACCGATCATACTTATGCTACTGACAATGGGAAAGTTTATCGGAAAAAGGAGTTACGCCTTTTTCCGATAAAAATTTTTGAATTCTTAACAAGGAGATTAAGTATAGCGCATACAAAACGACTAGCTCAACGCCTTTTGCTTCAATAGATTTGCTTTGTGGCCATAACCCGATACCAGTTGCCATGGCAAGACGTTGTCAGGCAACTGGTATCGGATTAACATAGCCAACTGATAGTTGGAAAAGAGTAATGCACGCACAAACAGAAAACTGACTTACTTGGATTCTAGTCTTACTTGAAAACTCTTTTTGAACGCTGACTTCTGCAAGTAAAATTATAATGAAAATTATAAAAAAATATCCGTAATAAATTGAAAGCAAGGGCGCACTTACATTTGAATCCCCCAATGAGACAAAAACGATATATTGGTAAAACCTAGAACCTAAAGAGAGAGGCCATCAGTTGATCATAAATAATTTCTATCATTAAACATGCCAAATAATTTTTGAATTCTTAACAAGGAGATTAAGTATAGCGCATACAAAACGACTAGCGTGTAAAGCATCTTCGGTGCTTCGAATTTTAAACAACTCATTAAAAAAATCGGATTTTTTGAAAAAAGACTTGTATCCTTTGAGTGTATCCTGACAACACCAAATTACACGATTGGCAGTTTCAAACTTCGCAAAATTTTTCTTTCGAGTTCTTTAATTCAAATTTGGAACTTAAGAGAAAATTTAGATTTGAAAAACTTCACAAAAATGGAATAGTCAATCCTCAAGTCAGGTGCTATTAAAATTTTAATGCCGCGCAGCAAAAAAGCCAACAATAAGCACTTTTGGGTTTGAGCACTTTTTAGTTGGGTTTAAAAAAAGTGGATGTGCAAACACTACGCTGGCTAGCGTAAGCACACGATTTGGAAAACTCATTTTAAAAACGTTCTTTGATGATGAGAAAACCATCTATGCCTATGCCAACTCCTGCTTCCCATACATTGTTGAATTCTACCGGTTGCACGAAAAAGCAAAAAAAAAATCTAATTCAGAAAACGCGTCAATAATGACACAACGCAAGACAGAGCTTCTCGTCACTTGTGATACAATACAAAGGTAGCATTGCCAGCTACCCAGCAGAAAATAAGACGTTAAAAACTAAGTCGGAAAAAAGCTGGAAATTTAATTTTGTAAATGTAAGTTAAACTTCTGAAAAACTGCGGAGAACCACAACTACCAATGTTAAATAGTCTTTTGGTATATAACGAGCGGACATTAAGCCGACAATATATTGAGCCAAAAAAAAAACAGAAAGCCATAACAAAAACTTTGAGCGATAAAATTTTTAAATTTTGGTTGTTTACACCACAGAAGGCCTGAATTATTTTTAAAAAGCGATAGTAAAGTTGGGAGGTGGTGAAGTGGTTAGGTCTCCGGCTCTCAACCCGAATTTCGGTTTGGGACCCACCATGATCAATGAAACATAACAAAAAAGTTGCAAGTAGATATTAAACAGTGGCACAACAGGGGTTCCCAGTGAAGAGCTGAACAGAGCTCATACATTGGTCCTTTACATTGTTGATAAATAGTCTTAATTGCAAAAATATTGATCAATTTTTGTCTTACAAACTACACAAAAAAAATCGAATAGGCCGATAAAACATAAACAGAAACAATTTCTGCCGAATACAGCTTTTAAGCGAAAAAACCAAAAAAAAGAAAAAAAAGTTAGAGTGAGTAACCATACAAAATACAGGAGTATATCATTAACAATTTCAACGCAGATGATATAAGAAGGTAATATTGCACTTTATTTCAACGCAATAAAGTGCAATAAGAAAATAGAAATAAGCCTCTAAATAGTTTAGAAAAAGGGCTAAGTCTCGGATTCGAGCTTCGACCTAGAGATTATGAGTCCCACACACTAAACACTCAGCCATGAACGCTTAATAGACCACAAACACTAGCCTGAAATAAAGCAGAGAACAGATGCTATGAAATTTCCAATGTTACAGATCGTGATAATAGCAAAAGCGCCACCAAATAATGAACACTATTATTTGCGAGCTAGGTCAGAAAAAAGAAGCTCGTACTAATACACTAGTGTAGACTCGCGGGCTCGCTAGTGTAAACACAATAAAAATTGCTTAACAATAGAGAAAATCCGCGATGTGGCAACCAAGCCAAAACTGAAAAAAAAACCAAGGTCTAGCCAGGACTCCAACTCCCAGACCTTACGGTAAAAAGGCAATCGCGTTACATCTGGACCAAGTTAAAAAAGCGAGTTCAACTTCTTAAAGATTTGCAAGAAAAGTTCTTTTAGGGAAAAAAAAGTCTAGTTCCTTATTACAACAGTTTCGACAATCGTTCGTATCCGTAACCAACCGTGTTATGAGAAAAAGACTACTTGATTAAACATTCCTTTGGCACTTCTTTTTTTAAAAAACATCAATTTTATTTGAAATTAAATTGTCATTTCACCATCTAGGAGAGAGGCGGATACTTCAGTTTATATAATTATTCTTAAATGAAGAAAGAAGCTTGACCGAAAACGTCTTTAGTAATTAAAAAAAACAAAGAGTTTCTTATTTCTCATTTCAATAATAAACTTTTTCCTTTCTCGCTATTTAAGTAGTTTTTAACCAGAAACAGGACTTCATTAAAGCCATTGAAGTACCCAACAAAAAAGGGAAAATAATTCATTATTGCAAAAATAATTACTTTTACTTGCCCATAGAAAACAACTACTGACAAATTTAAGGTCGATGCCCTCTGAAAAAATGCATTAGGGGAAATTTATCATTAAGAGAAATTATTTCGCAAGTAGTGATTTTAAGGTAAGAATGTTGATTGGCTTATTTAGTGCTACCAACAACGGGCTGTATGCAATTGTAATTCCGTCAAAAGTCAGTCATATTACCTTCTAACCAAGTCAATGAACTACCATCAACGAAGCCCTCAATTCTACTTATGACATAAAAATATTGATTTTAATGTGGATTGAAAGAACAAAATACTAAATCAATGAAAAAATGAATTAAATTAACTCCATCCTTAAAAAAGACAGAAAATTTCACATGTAAACTATCTTTCCAAGGCCATTCACTCCTCTTGAGGTACTATTTTCCGATAAATCAAACAAATTAGGTCATATTTGCTACCATTGCGCAACAAGAATGTCTGTATTACGTAATCAAACGCCTTCAGGGAAAAGAGTTGAAAGGGGATAACTATCCTTGCCCAAAAATTGAAAAATAAGCTTAACATTATTAGAAGAAACATGCCGCCCTCTCCTTTGCTTTCATGTTGGTAAAAAAAAAGCTGTTATGCAATTGTTACGCATTACTGACAAAGTGCTACATCATCAACTTTGTAACGTTGAGTGCTTCCTAATAGGAAACCTCTTGTAAAGTGAAGTTCATTTAATTAAGCAGGTGGCGGTGTTTTTATGGCCCGAATATTTCTTCTTATATTGAATTCAGACTCGCTTTTTTCAGACTCGAACAAAGGCGGTCAACTTAATTATTCATCAAATTTTTGCGCCAGCTTTCACGTTTCTTCAGTTTGACGAGGTCGTTACCCCTTAATAGCTTCACAAGCGGCTCAATTGGAACAATATACTGCGAGTAGCATCAATGGGCTAGGAAACGATTAAGCTATAAAAACTGCTATAATTTAATCATTCTGCAAATAACCTGGTGAGGGGGTAGGATAAAGAGGTGGGAGAATTCGCTTGAATGAGCACCGGTTGAAGAACGTCATGAAAACTTTATGACCCACACTGTCTAATTTCACGCTTTAATGCCATGTATGGATCGCATTCACTCAGACGCCAAATCAAAATATATTATGGACAATACTTGATTATCGCTATTTCATGCTTTTTACAGACTCAAAGCTTCAAAAAAAATAAAAACACTATAATCCGCTAAAAATAACTAAAACTTTTGAAACTGAACTATTCTATCTGTATCTTTTCAATAACTGGACTGAAGGGTGGCTCAGCCTTCGTATAGCTGAAACCATCTGGACCGAGGCATGGCTCAAACCGTCTGGACCGAGGCATGGCTCAAACTTCAAAACCCAGGCATGGCTCAAACCGTCTGGACCGAGGCATGGCTCAAACCGTCATAAGATTTTAAAAAAAGTATCACACAGTTCAAAATAATAAGCTGAAAACCCGCCTACAATGGGGCTTAAGAGATGTCAGCATGTTTTAGCGCTACTGGCACTCATTTTAATAAGATATGCTTGGTGGATGTGAATCAATACACTACATCAGACACAGAACAAACTTTTCGGCTCCAGTGGTGATGGTGGCCTACCTGTTGCACTAGGGGGTCTATGAGTCCAATGACCTGAGGGTATCTGGAGAGGATGTCCAAGTACACTGTCTCCACTAACTCATCCCCACCCTTGAAGCCACTCGACACCCACTCATACTTCTCTTTGTTCTACACAAACAGCAACAACAATCACAATAGTGGAGGGGAATGGTGGTGAAGTGGTTACGTCTCCGCCTCTTAATCGAAAGGTCGGATGTTCGAGGCCCATCATTATCCGTGCTAGTTGCTCGAGGAACAGGCAGCATTACCCAGCCCAGAAAAATAACGAAAAAAAATTGCATGTAGTTTTAAGCAGGGGCACAACAGCGGTTCTCCATGAAGAGCTGAACAGCTCGTACGTTCGTCGTTTCCTTTGTGCATAAATTGCCTTCAATTGAAAGTGAGGAGCTAACATCGAGAATTAATACACCTAGACTACGTGTTGACACCTAAAAACGTTTTCAGCGTTTTTCCTTGCAGTCCCAATCACGACTAGCTGGGGTTTTTTATCGTACAAGGTGAGAAAAAAATGATCTGCTGGGTATTTGTGGTCATAGTAACGCTATTATCTGGATTAAACATCAACACTCAGAGATATAGTTGGACTGATACTAACTGCATCATAGTACTCGTGGGCTGCACAGTGTAGTATAATGAAGTAGTCCTCGCCCAGATTCAGTTCCGGAATGAGAGCGGCACACTCCACCACTGCATCCAGCAGCTGTTCCGGCTTGTCCATCATCGGGTTCGGACTCCCATGGTCGGAGATCATCTTGGCCGTCAGCTGCAAACATTACCCAAACTATAAACAATTAGTAACAAGTCTTTTAACAACCTTTTGTCATTTGAATCTTTTTTCATCTTTTTTTTTTTCATTTTACAACCCTTTTAAGGATTTTTTTGTTTTCCTTAATTTTTCGTTATTTTTTTATTAAGAAAAACTTAGAGCTTCCCAAGTTCGATTATTTTATCATGGTACGCATCGCGCCCTTTCGTGTGTGCAATCGATTTCCATAAGTATATTCAAGCATTCCTCTTTCATTCTCATTCGGCTCCAATAATTTCCCCCAGAAGCTGTTACAAATTCAACGCTTGCGTAAAGGGTAGGATGCGTAGGGGTGGTTTTCTTTTATGTTTAATTACGTATTTACAAGATAAGTGGGCTGTTTTTGAATAAGAGAATAAGACGAACACATCACACTTTTTTTGAGGACAATATGGCTATGGCATTTTCAAATAAAACAGAAAAAAAAACACTAACTCTACTGTGATCATAAAAGGATATGGAACAAAGCATTACTTGTGACGCACACATGCAATTCATTTAGAAATCATTTCATTGAGATGGTAATATTCATATGATGGTACTATTCAAGAATTACAAAAGTGAACACAAAGCACGCGATTGGAGGAGTTAAACCTGGCTTATTTTCTGCACTTGTTGCAAGCCCTGCAAAGAAAGTTGTGATAAGAAACAAAAAGAACTTGAAAAAATGTTTTTTTTTTCAACTAGATGATATCAAAAAACATTTCTGATACTAGAATATTGACAAATTAAAGAACGATGACAACTGAAATAGATCATTTTGTTTACTCGTTAAAGGAACAAAAGGTATGTCAGAAACCTAGTAAATTAGGAAAGGAAAGTGATGACAAAAATCTAGAACACAGGAAACTTAAGAGCTGATTTCAATCCTTTGTTGGTTTGAATTTCACTTACACATTCGAGAACAAGATAGATATCCTCCTTCATAGAAAAAAATATTAGCTACATACAATTGAAACTAATTTGGTACATCTCATCGTTATATAAAACATTACCACAAAAACAGGCTCTTTTTAAACCTGGTTATGATTTATTAATGGTTTATCAATGTAAAAAAGAAAGCGACGAAAGACGCCGAACAACCCCTGCGGTACAGACAGGGTTTTGAACGTCTTCAACGCAACAGAAAAAAAAATGGTAGGCAACAAGGTTAACTACATATAGCAAAATACTCACGCCGAGCTTCTTCGACAAATCGTTGATGAGCTTGTACGTCAGCTCCTTCATCTTCTGAATAGTCTAAAAATACAGTAACGCCATGTAAAACTTAATTTAATCTCAAGTAACATCCCCCTTCTTTCCGTCATCTACCCCACAAGGATTTTAACAAGTGAACCTTTGGTACTAATTCACAACATCCATTTTTCGGCTCACCCACTTAAAAATTGATCAAGAAACAAAAAAAGCACATTTTTTTGAAAATTTTGACAAATAAGGCCTTGAGAACGTTTCCGGAGAGCTCGGAAAATTAATTTGGTCGACCTAGAAAACTGACAAATGCGTCTGTAATTTTTTTCTGAAAATATGCCCCCTCAAGAAGCCCTTACTTATAAATTATTTTTTAAACTAAAGTTAAGAACAATTTAATACGTATAAAAAGCAGTTTATGTATTGTTTTGTTGCAAATAAATAACTAGATTGTGCTTTGCTTTACTAGAACTGAAGAAAAACAAAAGTCTAGCAGTGGTTGAAAGAAAAAAGTTTCATGTCACATCTAAAAAAAAACAGCTGAGCTGATTGTGCTTACAGTTGCGAGTGAGTGTGATGGTTTGGGTACCAGGAGCACTTCCCGGATGAGGTTCTGTTTGCCTGCTGCCGATCTGCCTCCCGATACCACAGTCACCATCGGCACAGGCATCTTCAACTGCTCACCAATCTGAAGTGGCAACATTTATACTTGTGTTAAAACTAACTAAGCCAGTCCAGCATACAATCATGGATGGACGAAGGCGACACTGAAGAGCCGACATTACAAACCAATTTCACGATGTTTCATTTGATGAAACCTGGCGACAGACTTAGTTTTTGAATAACTGAGAACTATTTTTTGAATTTTCTTAGCTTGAGTCATTTACTTATGATGGCTCAATCACCACTATCGTACATGCAATACATAGTATCTTAGATTTAAATAGAAAATACAGCCTGGTCTGTAAATAATCGCTTTTTTTCGACTAATTGATAGCTGTTTTGAAACTCTTCACCTCTCCACTGGATAGCTCTGAGATGTACTGATAAGGTTCCAGGGATCTCACTCTGGCAGCTGCCACGCAGTTCGCACTAGAAGCCGCACATACAGCCTGGGCACCACTGAACACCAGGTCTTTCGGCGCCTCCGCGATATCCGGTGTCTTTGGAACCGCATCTTTGCCACCTCCACCGCCTTTCTTCGCATCTTTGCCGCCCTTAAAAAGAAGATGAATAAGAACCAAAATTAATTTCAAAAACTGAAAGCGCCGACGCTATTTGCAAGAGAAGTTCTAATAGCAATGAAAATAGATCAAGTCTAAAGCAGTTTGTCAATAAGGATATTCGCTATTTAAGCTGCACGAACATTCTGAGAGAAAGAGAAGAGCACTTTTTTACCTTTCCCTGTAACAAAAAACAAAACCATTGTTAAAACATTTTCGCATTCAAAGGAAAATAAAGCAATATGAAAATATTTATTGTTTCTTTCATCACAAATGTAAGATGAAAATTGAAAAGAGCTGATAATTGTTCAATTTAATTTCGAACTTTTATGATTACACTAAGATATGGCCAGCCGACTATTGAAAAAGTGTACACAGAATCGGAGCTTCGCAGAATTTGCGATGCAAAAAAAACGGTAAGCGGTAGAGAATAGAAAAAACTGTCAAAAAAATTTCTGAAAAATTAAGTTGAAAAAACTACTTGAGAAAAAATCACTTGAAAAGTTGACAAGAATACAGCTACAAAAACTTCATTGTTGTACAGGATGAAATTCATAAACAGCTTTAAAAATAGTTGAAAATCATTTACCGAGCGGCAACAAATCTTGGGTCAGAACCTGTTGAGCCGAAAATTGAACTTTTGACAAAAGTTTCCCGATATAACATAAACTAAACTGTTTAAGGAAAAAAATCAGACTTGGTAAATTAACTAATTATTGAGCTTTCAATTATAAAAAAAACAGTTCAAATAAAAAAAAAACATGCTTTAGGAAGTACGCCAAAAAACTGTACCAGATGAAAAAAATGGCGTTTAAAAGAACGGAAAATGAACCAACAGAACCCAGGACGAAAACCACGAACTCAAAAAAAAACTCAAACCACGAACTCAAAAAAATTGAAAAAATTATTAAAACCTGAAAAGGACTTTACCTGATTATTTTTTTAGTGATGGTAGCTTTATTTGAACTTTGAAGGAATTGAGCAAGTCAGAAGTGATATTTACCACTCTCACTAAATTGACCCTTCTGTGAACAAATTATTTACGGGAACAAAATCTAGTAACCGATTGCAATAGCCTTGCTTATTGCAAGGATAACGTAAACAAGGAAACCGAAAAAAAATGATTGAAAATATTGTTTATGATTGGCGTTTTTTCGCCAAGTCATCCCATTTAGAGAAAAATGGATCAATACTTAATTTGAAACCAAAAGTCATTCAAGTTTTTCGTGACCTTTTCACTTTTGAGGTTCGATAGTCGAGTTGGCTGGATCAATACTTAATTTGAAACCAAAAGTCATTCAATTTTTTCGTGACCTTTTCACTTTTGAGGTTCGATAGTCGAGTTGGCCTTCCTTTTAACAAAGGAAACGAAGTGAACTCATCACAACGAATTGAACTCATAAATCATAAGTCAAACTTTGAAAAATCAAATTTGAGCGTCACTTCGTTCTTTTACACTTAAACTAAAACAATCTTCACGTTGCGAGAACACGACAAAAAGCAGCTCTATAAAATGCAATAGCAAAAATTAAGAAATAAGCCTCAAATTAGTGAAAATTCGGCTACCTCAGAGATTCGAACCTGCGACTCAGAGATTAAGAGTCTCCCACACTAACCACTCAGCCAAGGACGCTTAAAAGACACCAAACACTAGTCAAAACAAATAAAGCAGAGAACAGATGCTAGACAATTTCCAATGCTACAGTGAAATTTGCAAATAAGTGAAAACTTTTGCATGAACACTTTTATTTGCGAGTTAGATTAGGGAAAAAAGAAGGTTCGTAATAATACAATATGCTGATCGCAAGTGTAATCACAACGGGTCATTAAAGAAAAGACTAAACCAGAACAGGCAGCTACAAATCTTGGGTAAGACTTAAAAAAGTCTGGTTTTAAGCTATTTTTCTTAAAACCTATATTACAAAAAAAAACTATCAATTGGATTCGTTTTTCACTTTCTAAGATATCTATTCGAGTGAACGCAATCAACTTCAATTTTCTTCATTTTTCTCCAGGTCCGAATCAACGCTATCAATAAATGCGAACAATTTTGTTTTTAGACTTTTATCACACAACTGAACAAAAAAATTAATATTTCGACTTTTTCCTGCACGAATGAATCCGAATTCACGCGTGCAGTTTTGCTATTCGTGCTTTTCCCCAGATCCGAACGAAAGCAAACAAATTTGATGTTTAGACTCTTTCCTCATATCTGAATGAAAACAAGCAATCAGACTAATCACACAGATCCGAATGAACCAAAACAATTTGACGTTTAGAATTTATTCCCCAGATGCGAATGAACGCGATCAAATTTGATCTTCAGTCTTTTTCCCCAGTAAGCAACAGCGAATACCACGAGAGCTGATTTATAAAGTTTATAAACTTTACAAAAAATGTATAACTTTTGATAAACGGGACATCTTTGAGCTATTTTGCAACATGACCGTAACAATATTTCTATTGATAACAGCGAAACTAATCCTACTAAATTTTCCAAATAGGAAGTTAATCAATGCTGAAGTGATACAGTAAGACGAGAGCCCTACAATTCAAGGAAATTTAGTGAATACTTGTACAAGGCTGAAATAAACTTCTTATAGGCTAAACTTCGGGTTACTTATAATCAAAATATTACAGAATTTAGCAAAAAAATTATTACTAGCTAATACCTTCGCATCTTTGTTTTTGCTCGGAGTAGCAGCTCCTGGTGATGCCTCCCCTGCCCCGGTGGCATCCAACTGAGACCCGGAGTCTCCTCCGTGCGATGATGAAGCTTCCAGGGCAGCTTGACGTCTTGCAGACTCAGCTGCTGTCTCTTGGTCTTGGATTTCTTTCAAGGTCACGCTACAAATGTTCGCATCAAGTCAATGATGATTTAATTGTCTTTAGGACATAGAAGAGCGTGAATTTTAGGATCTAATCATGAGAACTTACTTTACTAATAATGAATTCTTTAGATTTGAGCAATGAAAATGATAATTATGATGAGAATAGTAAATTTCACAGATACTTGCAGATGAAATTTTACAACAATTATTCATGCCCAAATGAATATTGCATTATATACTATTATGATGTTGCCGCATGTCACCGATTGGAGGGTGCTGGTTGGTGTTCCTTTTTGGGAGTGGGCGTGACCGAGGCCTTCAAATTAGTGGCCAGACTATTCGCGATCAGCGATCCCCCGAAGTTGAGGCCCGCGCCGACACCCGCTGCTCCTAGAGCCACCGCGGCTGCTGCCAAATTGACTCCGGCATTAGAAGAGTTCCCGGCTTGGTTCAGAGCCCGGTTTTTCAGGGAAGCGTCTTTTCCCATGCTGGTTGAGCCAGCAACTGTTGCTGAGTTAATTAAGGTGACTTCCTTGGCTATTTCCAGATTGGCCAGAATTCTTCGCAAAATTTTCAGTTATTCTGAGGTTAAAGTTATGTTTTTTGATTAATAACTATATTAAATACAATACTAAGAAAAGCTATATTTGACACAAAGAGAGTCAATTTGACAAAAGAAAATAATGTATATACTTGATATTCACGAAAGAGGATGTCTCAACTCAAGATTCCACAAAAACTTTTCGTAAAACTTTTTTACAGTTCTGCTGGTACATGTTATAAAAATAAATGGATAATTTACGACCAAATTTCCGAGTATAGCTTTTGCGTAACTCACTTTAGAATTTCGTCCACTTTAGTCTGATCAGCTATGGGTGTCCCGTGCAGTGCCTCATTCATGGGTCCATTGATGAACCTGATAGCGGCCTTCACTCCCCTCAACCTCTCTTCGTCATCCTGTTCTTTCCTTTCAGTTGTGGTCGCATCTGACAGTTGGTTGAAACTAGCCACGAATGCAGACCCCATTCGCTAATGAAACAATTTTGACCGAATCAGACAGAAGCTAGTGTATATTTTTCTTTAGGGTCGCTTTTTCTCTGAGAGGTTTCAAAATGAAAAACTTCTGTGATATTCTATGGTAGTTAGTACATTTCGTGAAATTAAAACAAATTTTTCTCCAGGTTTGATTCTAATTTTTTTTTGGAAATAATTTTCAAAATAATCGATATTTGATTTTCTGAGCTCACTATTTACACGAAGACATTATTTTGCTAAAAAAATTCTGAGAGACTATTTTAAGACTGCATGCCACAATTGAGTTATTTTTTGAACACTTTATCCGACAGTTTTGCGCGCGCTCCCTCTCATATTTTTTGCGCGCGCTCCTAGGAAGATAAGGGACATTGAGGGATGAGACAATGCCACATGTAGTAAGTGATCGAACTTCCCCAATCATAGGGTCACTTTTTCATTTTATTTGAAGAGGAAAAAATATGAGAGGGAGCGCGCGCAAAGATAGGGTAAAAACTTTTTTAAAATTATTTTTAAAACTTTCATATCTGGCAAACTAAAAATGTATAGTTTAAATAGAAGCCAAATTGGCAACCTCTTAGAGTACCCTGACAGCACTACAAAATGAGGTTGAAAATTTCCATGAATAATAAAAAACGCTATATCTCGGCTGATTAAACCTTAGATCAGTCCTATTCAGCGGATGTCAGATTTGCAACCTATGTTTGTACCCTGACAGCTCCCCACAAAAGGGTTGAGGATTTCAAGATTTTATAGTTTTTAAAAAGAAAACTCATATCCCGAAAATTAAAAGGAAATGAGCAGTCAAGGTTAAATTTGCATCCCCATAGCGTAATCTGAAGAATCCCCACCATTTGTTAGTCTTTTTCAAATCTATGATTTTTGAAAAAACTGAAAAAATTATAAAAATCCACATATCTCGAAAACCAGAAGGATCTGAGCAAGAATAATTGGAGGCCAGATTTAGAACAACTGCGTGTACCCCGACAATACTGAAACAGTATTCTAAAAAATTGAAAAATTATAAGAACCGGAATAACTAGAAACCAAAAAACTTGATTGTTAAATTTAGCAGGCCAGAGTACCCACCCAGACAGCACCATACCATAGAGAAAAGAATTTCAAGTTTATTTGGTATTTTTTATGTCTAGTTTTTTTTTGAAAAAAAAAATTGAGGCCAGATTTGCAACCCTTGAGTGTACCCGGGAAACCCCTGAAAACAAAAAACGCCTTATCTCGGAAACCATAAAATTTGACCAGTAAAACTCGCAGGCCAGATTTGCACACCTCAGTACCCACCCAGACAGCACCATACCATAGAGAAAAGAATTTCAAGTTTTGTTGGTATTTTTTATGTCTAGTTTTTTTTTGAAAAAAAATTGAGGCCATATTTGCAACCCTTGAGTGTACCCGGGAAATCCCTGAAAACTAAAAACGCCTTATCTCGGAAGCCATAAAATTTGACCAGTAAAACTCGCAGGCCAGATTTGCACACCTGAGTACCCACCCAGACAGCACCATACCATAGAGAAAAGATTTTCAAGTTTTGTTGTCATTTTTTATGTCTAGTTTTTTTTGAAAAAAAAAATTGAGGCCGGATTTGCAACCCTTGAGTGTACCCGGGAAACCCCTGAAAACAAAAAACGCCTTATCTCGGAAACCATAAAATTTGACCAGTAAAACTCGCAGGCCAGATTTGCACAGCTGAGTACCCACCCAGACAGCACCATACCATAGAGAAAAGAATTTCAAGTTTTGTTGGTATTTTTTATGTCTAGTTTTTTTTTTGAAAAAAAAATTGAGGCCAGGTTTGCAACCCTTGAGTGTACCCGGGAAACCCCTGAAAACAAAAAACGCTTTATCTCGGAAACCATAAAATTTGACCAGTAAAACTCGCAGGCCATATTTGCAACCTGAGTACCCACCCAGACAGCACCATACCATAGAGAAAAGAATTTCAAGTTTTGTTGGTATTTTTTGTCTAGTTTTTTTTTGAAAAAAAAAATTGAGGCCAGATTTGCAACCCTTGAGTGTACCCGGGAAATCCCTGAAAACAAAAAACGCCTTATCTCGGAAACCATAAAATTTGACCAGTAAAACTCGCAGGCCAGATTTGCACACCTGAGTGCATCCTGGCAGCATCCTACCCTAAACTAGAGAACTGCAGGTTTTGTTAGATGTTTTTCAAATCTCGTTTTTTAAGCAAAAAATAATCATTTAAAAACGCCATATCTCGGAACCAAAAAAAATTGAGCAGTAATATTTGAAGGCCAGATTTGTAAACTTTAGTGTACCCTGAAAACACTGCACTTACACTTTAGAATTTGATTTTTATCAAATAAACGAAAAGCTTTCATTGTGAAAGAAGCAATAAAACTACAGTTAAAGCATGCATGCTTAACATGTGTGGTTAGAATCGAGGATGACCTTAGGAATCGAAATATTCTTAAGCATTGCAATATACGATTTAACATATATGTGCAAAAATTATTTTTGCTTTGCTTGCGTTGTCATCAAACTTTATTAGTTTCTGCTTCTCCGATGCGGGATTGTGGAGCTGTTAATGATTTTACGAAAATGAGACTAAGAAATCTTGCACTGATGATAGTTTTTCCGCTCACTCACCTTGTATTTGGAGTTCGTCAATGTGAATATTTCAGTCTGAAGTGTAGGCTGTCCTTTTGAGTCAAAGTACTCGCCGGCCTCGATCTGAACAAGCAGCGATTGAACAATCTTTCTTATATTTAAGCCTCCTTTATGTACTTTAAACTCCCCGATCGTTTTTTAAAAAACGAATCCATGAAATTGAAAACTGTTGGACAATACAGAAGATTGAAACACGCCTTATCTATTGTAGTGGGTTTGGCATGTTGCAGGAAGAATTCAACTAAGTAGGCATAGACATCTTGTGGTTGATGGAAAAACATTTCATTCAGAGCTGTTTCCATTAGTTGAGGCACTTGGTTCTCTTTGTAATAATGCACTGCGCTCCTTCTTAGGTCTGCCAGTTTCTGGAACTGCGGATCTGTTCTAGGGTCTACCATTTTACAGCTATCTGAATCACGGGTCGACTGAATACTTAATTCATCAAGAGCTGTACAATTTAGTTAAATTCAAAGAGTTCACTGATCAATAACATTTAATTTTACAATTCAAAACCAACAAGTCCAAAATTATTCACCAATATACGCTTTGTTGAGTTAATTAAGGTGACTTCCTTGGCTATTTCCAGATTGGCCAGAATTCTTCGCAAAATTTTCAGTTATTCTGAGATTAAAGTTTTGTTTTTTGATTATTAACTATATTAAATACAATACTAAGAAAAGCTATATTTGACACAAAGAGAGTCAATTTGACAAAAGAAAATAATGTATATACTTGATATTCACGAAAGAGGATGTCTCAACTCAAGACTCCACAAAAACTTTTCGTAAAACTTTTTTACAGTTCTGCTGGTACATGTTATAAAAATAAATGGATAATTTACGACCAAATTTCCGAGTATAGCTTTTGCGTAACTCACTTTAGAATTTCGTCCACTTTAGTCTGATCAGCTATGGGTGTCCCGTGCAGTGCCTCATTCATGGGTCCATTGATGAACCTGATAGCGGCCTTCACTCCCCTCAACCTCTCTTCGTCATCCTGTTCTTTCCTTTCAGTTGTGGTCGCATCTGACAGTTGGTTGAAACTAGCCACGAATGCAGACCCCATTCGCTAATGAAACAATTTTGACCGAATCAGACAGAAGCTAGTGTATATTTTTCTTTAGGGTCGCTTTTTCTCTGAGAGGTTTCAAAATGAAAAACTTCTGTGATATTCTATGGTAGTTAGTACATTTCGTGAAATTAAAACAAATTTTTCTCCAGGTTTGATTCTAATTTTTTTTTGGAAATAATTTTCAAAATAATCGATATTTGATTTTCTGAGCTCACTATTTACACGAAGACATTATTTTGCTAAAAAAATTCTGAGAGACTATTTTAAGACTGCATGCCACAATTGAGTTATTTTTTGAACACTTTATCCGACAGTTTTGCGCGGAGGGGGGGGGGCGGATTTTCAAAAAAATTTCGAAAATTTCGTCGACCTTTTTTTTTAGGTCGACCAAATTGATTTTCCGAGCTCTTCTAAAGCACTTAAAAGTCCCTGTTTTGGCCAAATTTTCTGCGCCGCAGGCAAATTTTTGAAAAAACGGGTCAAAAAAGCGGTTTTTAGGCACTTTTTGAAAAACGTTGACAAAAAAATCGCGTTTTTTTGGCGCGCGCTCCCCCTCAAAGTTAATATATTGGCGCCAAAGGTGCCTTTAGAAAATTTTTAGGGTCGGTCGGCAAAAAATGGATTTCTTAAAAAGTACCAAAGGGGGGACCCTTTGGGTCAGCAAGGGGTCGAATCCCTGAGGGGGAGGGGCGTCCGCCCCCCCCCCCTAAATCCGCCCCTGTATATAGTTGATATTCACGAAAGAGTCACGAAAGAAGATGTCATCTTAAGCACTTCGAAAATTAATAATTTGATTTTAATACTCAATACTTTTAATACTTGATTTTAATAGTAAATACTAAGTATAAATTGGATATACTCGTCGATTAATAACTTAATGACTCGTAGTATATAATATAGCAGAATATTATAGATATAATTGATATTTACGAAAGAGGATGTCTCAACTCAAGATTCTACCAAAACTTTTATTAACACTTTTTACAGTTCTGCTGGTACTTATATAAAAATCTTTTGATAATTCACTACAAAATTTCCGAGTATAGCTTTTGGGTAACTCACTTTAGAATTTCGTCCACTTTAGTCTGATCAGCTATGGGTGTCCCGTGCAGCGCCTCATTCATGGGTCCATTGATGAACCTGATAGCGGCCTTCACTCCCCTCAACCTCTCTTCGTCATCCTGTTCTTTCCTTTCAGTTGTGGTCGCATCTGACAGTTGGTTGAAACTAGCCACGAATGCAGACCCCATTCGCTAATGAAACAATTTCGACCGAATCAAGCAGAAGCTAGTGTATATTTTTTTTAGGGTCGCTTAATCTCTGGTTTCCAAATGAACAACTTCTGTGATATTCTATGGTGGCTAGTATATTTCGTGAAATTAAAATGAAATTTTCTCCAGATGTGATTCTAATATATTTTTTTGAAAATTATTTTCAAAATAATCGATATTTGATTTTCTGAGCTCACTATTTACACGAAGACATTATTTTGCTAAAAAAATTCTGAGAGACTATTTTAAGACTGCATGCCACAATTGAGTTATTTTTTGAACACTTTATCCGACAGTTTTGCGCGCGCTCCCTCTCATATTTTTTGCGCGCGCTCCTAGGAAGATAAGGGACATTGAGGGATGAGACAATGCCACATGTAGTAAGTGATCGAACTTCCCCAATCATATGGTCACCTTTTCATTTTATTTGAAGAGGAAAAAATATGAGAGGGAGCGCGCGCAAAGATAGGGTAAAAACTTTTTTAAAATTATTTTTAAAACTTTCATATCTGGCAAACTAAAAATGTATAGTTTAAATAGAAGCCAAATTGGCAACCTCTTAGAGTACCCTGACAGCACTACAAAATGAGGTTGAAAATTTCCATGAATAATAAAAAACGCTATATCTCGGCTGATTAAACCTTAGATCAGTCCTATTCAGCGGATGTCAGATTTGCAACCTATGTTTGTACCCTGACAGCTCCCCACAAAAGGGTTGAGGATTTCAAGATTTTATAGTTTTTAAAAAGAAAACTCATATCCCGAAACCTAAAAGGAAATGAGCAGTCAAGGTTAAATTTGCATCCCTATAGCGTAATCTGAAGAATCCCCACCATAGAGTAGAAGTTCTGTTAGTCTTTTTCAAATCTATGATTTTTGAAAAAACTGAAAAAATTATAAAAATCCACATATCTCGAAAACCAGAAGGATCTGAGCAAGAATAATTGGAGGCCAGATTTAGAACAACTGCGTGTACCCCGACAATACTGAAACAGTATTCTAAAAAATTGAAAAATTATAAGAACCGGAATAACTAGAAACCAAAAAACTTGATTGTTAAATTTAGCAGGCCAGAGTACCCACCCAGACAGCACCATACCATAGAGAAAAGAATTTCAAGTTTATTTGGTATTTTTTATGTCTAGTTTTTTTTGAAAAAAAAAATTGAGGCCAGATTTGCAACCCTTGAGTGTACCCGGGAAACCCCTGAAAACAAAAAACGCCTTATCTCGGAAACCATAAAATTTGACCAGTAAAACTCGCAGGCCAGATTTGCACACCTCAGTACCCACCCAGACAGCACCATACCATAGAGAAAAGAATTTCAAGTTTTGTTGGTATTTTTTATGTCTAGTTTTTTTTGAAAAAAAATTGAGGCCATATTTGCAACCCTTGAGTGTACCCGGGAAATCCCTGAAAACTAAAAACGCCTTATCTCGGAAGCCATAAAATTTGACCAGTAAAACTCGCAGGCCAGATTTGCACACCTGAGTACCCACCCAGACAGCACCATACCATAGAGAAAAGATTTTCAAGTTTTGTTGTCATTTTTTATGTCTAGTTTTTTTTGAAAAAAAAAATTGAGGCCGGATTTGCAACCCTTGAGTGTACCCGGGAAACCCCTGAAAACAAAAAACGCCTTATCTCGGAAACCATAAAATTTGACCAGTAAAACTCGCAGGCCAGATTTGCACAGCTGAGTACCCACCCAGACAGCACCATACCATAGAGAAAAGAATTTCAAGTTTTGTTGGTATTTTTTATGTCTAGTTTTTTTTTTGAAAAAAAAATTGAGGCCAGGTTTGCAACCCTTGAGTGTACCCGGGAAACCCCTGAAAACAAAAAACGCTTTATCTCGGAAACCATAAAATTTGACCAGTAAAACTCGCAGTCCATATTTGCAACCTGAGTACCCACCCAGACAGCACCATACCATAGAGAAAAGAATTTCAAGTTTTGTTGGTATTTTTTGTCTAGTTTTTTTTTGAAAAAAAAAATTGAGGCCAGATTTGCAACCCTTGAGTGTACCCGGGAAATCCCTGAAAACAAAAAACGCCTTATCTCGGAAACCATAAAATTTGACCAGTAAAACTCGCAGGCCAGATTTGCACACCTGAGTGCATCCTGGCAGCATCCTACCCTAAACTAGAGAACTGCAGGTTTTGTTAGATGTTTTTCAAATCTCGTTTTTTAAGCAAAAAATAATCATTTAAAAACGCCATATCTCGGAACCAAAAAAAATTGAGCAGTAATATTTGAAGGCCAGATTTGTAAACTTTAGTGTACCCTGAAAACACTGCACTTACACTTTAGAATTTGATTTTTATCAAATTAACGAAAAGCTTTCATTGTGAAAGAAGCAATAAAAGTACAGTTAAAGCATGCATGCTTAACATGTGTGGTTAGAATCGAGGATGACCTTAGGAATCGAAATATTCTTAAGCATTGCAATATACGATTTAACATATATGTGCAAAAATTATTTTTGCTTTGCTTGCGTTGTCATCAAACTTTATTAGTTTCTGCTTCTCCGATGCGGGATTGTGGAGCTGTTAATGATTTTACGAAAATGAGACTAAGAGATCTTGCACTGATGATAGTTTTTCCGCTCACTCACCTTGTATTTGGAGTTCGTCAATGTGAATATTTCAGTCTGAAGTGTAGGCTGTCCTTTTGAGTCAAAGTACTCGCCGGCCTCGATCTGAACAAGCAGCGATTGAACAATCTTTCTTATATTTAAGCCTCCTTTATGTACTTTAAACTCCCCGATCGTTTTTTAAAAAACGAATCCATGAAATTGAAAACTGTTGGACAATACAGAAGATTGAAACACGCCTTATCTATTGTAGTGGGTTTGGCATGTTGCTGGAAGAATTCAACTAAGTAGGCATAGACATCTTGTGGTTGATGGAAAAACATTTCATTCAGAGCTGTTTCCATTAGTTGAGGCACTTGGTTCTCTTTGTAATAATGCACTGCGCTCCTTCTTAGGTCTGCCAGTTTCTGGAACTGCGGATCTGTTCTAGGGTCTACCATTTTACAGCTATCTGAATCACGGGTCGACTGAATACTTAATTCATCAAGAGCTGTACAATTTAGTTAAATTCAAAAAGTTCACTGATCAATAACATTTAATTTTACAATTTAAAACCAACAAGTCCAAAATTATTCACCAATATACGCTTTGTATCATTTTATGTATATTACACCTATGAGTCTGTGATATTAATAATTTACATTGCCCGGTTCGCCAAAATCTGGCTGCTGAGCATATCAAACTCAGACTCTTTCGTTACCCAGTCCAACACGATAGGATGTTGCGGGTGGGATTCGTGCAGTTGGGATACGTACCGTTTCGCCATTTCATTCTTTCCAGACAAGCTAAGAACAGTTACATAGTTCACCAAGGTCTCTACATTGCTGTTATCTTTATCGTACGCTTCTTTTACACATTCCATAGCTTCTTCTAACCGTCCTTGGCTCAAATGACAAACAGCGACGCTGTTAAGTAAAAATGGAGTACTTTGGAACCTTTCCTGAAGATCCTGGAAAATATGATACGCATCTTGTACTTTGGGTCCGCCTCGGGCAACATTCAACCAAGCAGTAGCCAATTGAGTCAAAATGGAATCTTCATCCATTTCGCACATCTTCTTTTGCTCTTTTGCAGCCAAATCAACTCTATTGATGGACAATAGAATTTTGACACTCAAGTTGAGACACTCCAAGTCGTTCGATTGATGTAGACATCTCAAGGCTGCCTCGTGGTTTCCAGCAGTGAAAAGCGCCGATGCCGTCACCAACACTAAAGTATCGTTTGAGGCATCTTTTTGGAGCATTTCCTCGAGTTGAGTTATTATCGTTCCCTTTCTCTCCGGGTTCGCAGCCATGAACTCCGAATACATTTTTATTGCTTTCAGACTAGCATCAGCACTGGGCTTTATTGCATCTAGTACTACTCGAAATTTACTTTGCGCAATGTAACTTCGAAACACAAATAAGTCTCGCTCTGTTGTTTTATCTCCGACAACTCGAACTTTTTGTCCTTCGTCAATACATGCCTGATAGTTTCCAGTGAAGAAAAAAGCCTTGAGATCAAACAGCTCATCGGGTGCCGAATCTTGACGACTCATTTTGCTCTAAAAAAATCGAAGTATAAAAATTGCCCCAACTGATTGACATGCTTTAGCTCGTAGCTAAGATCAATTGAGCAATCTCCCCCCAAGCAAAAACGGTAAAACGCTACAAAAAGATGTCAGGAAACGCAAGTAGATGGTTGATGTGTTCGTAGCACGCAATCAATTGACCGAATGAAGTTTCCACCCCTCACCGTTGTTAGCAACTGCCCTGCAACTATTGTAGCGACACAATAGTTGCAACTCGGAGCGGTCTTGTTTTTCTCTGTTGTTTTTCTATCACAATCTTCGTTGTTTTCGTCAGTGCGACTATCGTTGTTGTGTCGCTTTTCTGCCAAAATGGCCGTTTTTGACGTTTCTGAGAATTGTTACGTCATCACTTCGAAAATTTAAAATTTAGGAATTTCCGAATCCTTCAACCTTCACGTTTTGTTCAATCGTTCGAATAACGTTCTTATTCCTTCTAAATCGCCAATTCGGAAGGTTCGCTGCTAAAAACTCCGAAACTGCAGAGATTGCATTTTGTCCATTCTGGTCGAATGTCACATACTCCCCGGACAGTCCGGTCAATGTCCTCATTGAATCTCGCAATGTTCGTAAAATAGATACAGTGTCATCGAACAGAATTTACAAAATGCACGAAATTACTGTTATCCACGTCACATCGAATCACCGCAGAATATAAATGGCATCATACCACATCACTATAGCCTTCAAAATCTTTCATTAATCTGCACATTGAGGATATGACCTAAGATAAAACATATTTTCCGACTTCCAATGTCAATGTCCTGATTAAAACTTTTTCTCCTAGATTTAAAAGGTGTTGGTTTGCAGGACAGTCCTGCCAACCAACAAGCTAAAATTATCCTACTATGTTTCTTCCCTTCGGAAATCTTGCTTGTTATTGTCCTGAATTTTAAAACTAAGAAATTCTGTGGTTAGAAAGAACAATGAAACAATCTCCCTCTTCGAGAGATTACCCAAGCCTTTCATGTCACCACAAAGTGATCAGTTCTCCTAGCTGATTAAAAACAGTCATGTAGGCTGGAATATTTAAACATACTCCTTCACTCAAGCTTTTCTAAACAAATAGTAAGTAAGTGTCTCTAAAGCCACTCAACTAAAATCAAAATGCAAATTGATAAATGCAACAATTTCAAAACTCAACTAAATATTTCAGTTTTCAATTACAACTTGGTTGCTTGGTTTCTCATTTGAGTTTTTTCACGCACATAAAATAATTCTGAGTTTTAACTTTTTCTTCATCAGTCCTTTGTTTTCTTCTTTTTTCGTCGTTTAGAAGTTCTAAAACTTCTAAATTTTTCTAATTTCGTCTCTTTTTGCATCTCATTTTTCGGCCATTCGTCAATGTTCCATTTCCTCCTCCTGTGATACTGACTCTGCACTCTCAGTTTCCGTATCTTGCAACACGTCGTTAGCTATCCTGACGCTGTTGGAAGCCATCCTCCAACACTTCTGCTCTTCTACCCTTTGTTTGCAACAAGGTAGGGGATCCACATTAGATTCTCTGTTCCTGCAGTAGCTGTTGTGGAGACACAACGTCACATTTCTCTCCAAATCTTCCTTTAACATCTCTGCCTTCTCGCTTCCACTACGTTCACTTGTCCTGCAAATTCTTTTCACAGCGGTGGTCACTGCATTCCGATGAGTCACGAGAGCTCGCTTGAAAGCTCCTGCTCCAATGTCCAGCTGATATTCACTGTACACTCTGCCGTGCTTCGACATATGCTTCTTAGCATATTCGTACAACCATGCAATCATGTTAGCTCTGAACCATGGCATCAATCGTTTTCTTGCCCATATCTTCTTCATTTCCATCGGAATGTTTAGAATTTTGCACTTTTAGACTATCTAATTTCCGCAACTGTTCTCTCGTCGGTGCCTCCTGTCTATTATTTTCTCTCACATGAGCTTCCAGCCATCGTATCGCCATCATAACTCCCACTGTCACTATTGTTATGGGCTGTGATGAGTCTGGTAAACCCATGGAGAGCAGCTCTCCAGAGTCCCAGATCAACATCAGATTACTACGCTTGGGATACCACCAGGTCTGCAGCAAGCAGTGGCAGGAAACTCGTCATGTGTCAACATGATGCTCCTCCAATTACGTTTTCCCGAAGCTTCCAGTAATGGTTCTACTTCCATCATCACTCGGTGGACTTCATCATTCTCGTCTACTGTATTGTAATCTGTGACAGTTGATCCTCTCTGTTTCTGTCTTCAAAGTCACTGAAATTCCCGCTCACATATCCCATGAACTTCTTTCCTAGTATTGATTCCAACTCTTCCTTGGTTCTCTCTGGAACTGCTGAGAACATCTTACATAGCAACTCGTAAGACTTCTCGGATATTCTCGCCAGTCTCACACACTTCGGCACTGAGAAGGCTTGATCCACGATCGTTCTCGTACTCTTTACATCCACGGCCACGAAATGTACCGGGTATCTGCTCTCGCACATTGGAGCCAATGTCGAACCCACCAAATATCGTGCTCCTGATGGTCTACAATAAGTCTCACTGTGTCTGATGTTCATTTCCGTCTCGATCGCTTCCCTCCATTTTCCTATGTATTTCTGCTCAGTCTGCAGAACTCCTGGGAATACTTCTACACTGATGGCTGTGACCATCTCAAGTTTCTGTTCTAGATTCAATAGTGACTCTAGAGAACCAATGCTGTAGAATCCTGGTGCAGTCACTAGATTCACCTCGGTCCCTCCATGGCAATCTGCTATCAGTTCCATTTCTGTTCTTGCTTTCATCACTACGTTTCCAAACAATACCGTCAATTGCTTGTGTTGTTTCTCTAGGGTCTTCACACAGTCCAGTCCTCCACAAACGTGACCTTCCAGTCCACAGACTTCCGCCAGACAGCTACCAGGTTTGACCCAGTCTTCTGGTTCCCAGCCAGGCAACTCCACTTTATCTTCTCCGTTGCTCCTAGAGGCCGTTATCATCACATCTTATATGATGTTAAGGTCATTCCCTCTGCACGTCTTGTGTCGCCCGTAATATTGAGTCAGCGTTGGGACTAGCACACCATGATGGCCTCATCAATTCCCACACTGCCATCAAGCTCGTTCTCAGTAATTCATCTGAGAATCCCAACCCAAACTCCACTCTTTTGTCGGATTTTGGTACTTGTTTGAGAATCTCCTGATTTCGTCTATCTTTCTCATGGGTTCTAATTCCTCGGGTTCTTTCATGTTCACCCTCATCGATTTACTTTGCTGCATATCCAGCAGTGCTAGCAAGAATAAGGCTTTCGTTCGCTCATCGCCTTCCTTCAACATCTTAACACAAGTGTTCAATGCAGGAACTGAAATCTAATCTATCAGGAACCGAATGAAACAGAGAGCGTCTCTCCGCTTCGCACACGCTACTGCTGCTCCCTCTTGGACTATCAGATCCCTCAGGTTCGTCATCAGGAAAACCTTCTCTTCTTTCGACCTCTTAAATTCTTCTGAATCATTTTCTTCGCGAGCCAGTCCCATCATGCACCAGGCGAACCTGAGTTGTAACTCTGTTCTTACGTAAAGTACTGCCACTAGAGCATGTATTCTTGGCGTAGTCCTCATCTCTTCTTCGAAGTACCTTAATACCACTGCTTTCCATGGAAGGCTCACCAACTGCTCCATCGTTTCTGCCTGTATCTCAGACGACGCTAAAGTCCCGTACGCCTTCTGCTTGAGGGTGGTGCCTTGCAACATTGTCTCCAGATAACCCTCCATGGCATCTTTGTCCTCCAGAGCCATCACATACCCTCTAGCCGAGTTTCTGTATTCTAACATCTCCATGTATCCACCTTCAGGTTCATCTATCGACACAGTCTCCGACACTGTTAGTCGGTTATATTCCACTGGTATTAATTGTCCTGCGACACTTCACTTTCCGTGATTCATGGGAGATGGCTTAAAGTCTTTCATTGTGCTCTCTCCACATTGGCTGAGTATTTCCATTTCTAAGGTTGCTCCAGTCAGAGTGCGGTCACTCCTTTTGGACTTATAACCTGTTGACTTTATCCCCGCCATGAGAATGGGTGGCACCATCGCTACATCAGTTAACACTTTATCTGTGCCAGGCAGTTGATAATACCTTGCCCCAAATCCATGACTTCCTCGACTCGTTTCCTTTTCGCTGAGTTAACAGCTTTCATCGATATCTCCGAATCCACCTTCGTCTTTCCGACTCTCCTCGGTATCACTCTGCTGCCCAACTTCATTTTCATCGCATTGATTTTATCAATCACCAATTTTGATCGCATCGTCCCTCTCCTGGTTCTTGACAGATACACCACCTCTCCTTTATCGTCCTGCGGTGTCATCTTGATGGGAGAATTCGCTTCACTTTCATCAGTGGCCGAGTCGATCAACAACTCACTCAATCTCCCTTCACACTCATCAAGCTTGTCAAGGACTTCCCTCATCAAGGGTTGGTTGAGACCCGTTTTCAGAATGAACTGGGTCCCATAGCTCTGAACCACTGTCCAGACTTCTTCCATGAACGCCACTCTGTCCAATTTGCATCCCGTCCTACTCTTGTGGTCTCGATGATGTACTTCCCATTCTTCTTCGGGCAGCGTTCCCAAGAAAGGTACTCTTGCTGAGACCTCTATTCTTCTTCTTCTAGGTGATTCCATAAGGATTCTTTGTTCGTTATTTCTTGAATTGCCAGGAGAGCTGCTCTCCAGCAAATTCAGTTTTATTTCCATAAAGGCTGACGGAGGCTCCAGTGTCGAGATGCCTTCATCCGCTGGCTCAGTCGTCTCCAACGTATCTGCATTGTTCTCAAGATCACTGAAGATATTGAAATCCAGGCTGGATGTTCCTCCTGTCGATGCCCTGTCGTCTTCCCCACCAGCTTGATCTGCATCTTGTTGCATGGGTTCTTCGGTTTGACGGCTTCCTCCCTGTCCGTCATCTCCTTCTGTTATATCCTTGTTTGAGCTCGAGGGTCCTTGTTCATCATTGTCGGCTCCTTCCGG